AAAAAAATAAAAAATAAAAATAATAATAATAATAATAATAAATTAATAATAATAATAATAATATTAAAGAGAGAGAGAGAGAGAGAGAGAGAGAGAGAGAGAGAGAGAGAGAGAGAGAGAGAGAGAGAGAGAGAGAGAGAGAGAGAGAGAGAGAGAGAGAGAGGGGAAGACACGGCTCATGGGTCATGGGGATAGTGTGTAAGGTGGAGGGACATAAATGAAAAAATGGATGGCTGAAATTTGGAGTAGGTTTTTCTCAAATGGTGCAAAATAGTTTGGGCATTTCCCCTATTAAAATAAGTTTTGAGGGAGTTATATCAAAGAGCCCCTAATATTTATTATAAATAAAGGAAAAATTCATGTATATGACAAAATTAACCTCAACCCTTTACACTCAATTCTTAATTGTAACCCAATTTTGTCAATTTTGACCACAAAAATCCAATTTTGACTTTTTTTTTTCCAAAAACATTTTTTTGCTGCCGGATTCCGGCGTTAACTTTTCCTTTTTTCTTTTTTCTTTTTTTTTTCTAGTCTGTTTTTTACGCCGCCGGATTCCGACGTAGACTTTTTTTAGTGTTTTTTCTTTTTTTTACGTCAGCCGCTAAACGTTGACCGTAATTGTGCTGCCAATAACGGTAATTATACTATCACTGACAATAAATTAACGTAATTATACTGTCACTGACATTACATTAACGTAATTGTACTGCCGTTGACAATACATTTATGTAATTATACTGCCGTTGACTGTAAATTAACGTAATATTATTAAAAAAAATTGTTATTTTTTTTTAATTTTGTTTGATTTGTTGACAAGTCAACGTAATTATATTACTGCCATTGACAGTAAAATAACAGTAAACATAATAATATTATTGTTAACCATATCAATATTATTATTTTTTTTTTTTTGATTTTTTTTTGTTTTGTTTTAGTTATTCACGGAGTAACGTAATAATATTACTGTCTACTATTGTAATATTACTGCAAACACAATAATATTATTGTGGTTGACGGTAATATTACTGATGTTATAGTAATATTGCTGTCAACCACATCAATATTATTATTTTGTTTGGATTTTTTGTTTTGTTTGAGTTATTCATGGAGTAACGTAATAATATTACTGTCTATTATTGTAATATTACTGTGGTTGACGGTAATATTACTGTTGTTATAGTTATATTACTGTCATTCACAGTAATATAAATACTTTTGGCTTTTTATTATGTTTACATTTGTTGAACGGTGAACATATTAATATTGCTTTATAACACAATAATTATGGGTTTTTATGTGTTAATATTACTGTGCTAGAGATTAATATAACAATATTACTGTGTTAAACTGTAGTATAGTTAATTTTACTGTGTTTAACAGTAGTATAGTTAATATTACTGTCAGTCACATCAATAATGTTGTTAAAATGGAAAAAAAAGATGTTACAGAAAAAAAGTATCTTATCTAGGTTTAATGAAATATTCATTATTAATAGGGGTTTTTGTGCATAAGTCTCCAACCAAGCATCTTTATTATTCTAGGTTTATGGGCAATGTCTATTTCACTAATAAGCCCATCCATTTAATATTTATTATAAATAAAGGAAACATTTATGTATATGCCAATATTACCCTCAACCCTCTATACCCAATTCTTAATTGTAACCCCAATTTAATCAATTTTGTCCATAAAAATCCAATTTTGACCACAAAAATTCAATTTTGACTTTTTCTTGGAGCACACTTTAATATGCTCCAATTTCATCCTTAACTTAATTTAATCTCAATTTGACCCCAAATTTCACAAATTATTCAATTTTGACCCAAAACCTTTTTTTTTCAAAAAACAATTTTACCACCGGATTCCGGCGTTGACCGGCTTCAATTTTTTCTTTTTCTTTCTTTCGGATTTTTTTGCTGGTTTCTAGCATTGACTTTTTTTTTCTTTTCTTCCGGATATTTTCGCCGGTTTGCGGCGGTCTCCGGCGTTGATTTTTTTTGGTGTTGTTTTAAGTTTTTTTTTTTTTTTTTTGGTTTTTTTTAACGTTGACCGTAATTGTGCTGTCACTGACAGTAAATTAACGTAATTATACTGTAATGACAGTTAATTAACGTAATTGTACTGTCGTTGACAATACATTTATGTAATTGTGCTGCCGTTGACAGTAAATTAATGTAATATTATTATTTTTTATTTTTTGTTGTTTCTTTTTATTTTTTTTGATTTGTTGACAAGTCAACGTAATTATATTACTGTCGTTGACATTAAAATAACTGTAGACACAATAATATTACTGTCAACAACATCAATATTATTATTTTATTGGGTTTTTTGTTTTGTTTGAGTTATTCACGGAGTAACGTAATAATATTATTGTCTATTATTGTAATATTACTGTAAACACAATAATATTACTGTGGTTGACGGTAATATTACTGTTGTTATAGTAATATTGTTGTCAACCACATCAATATTAATATTTTGTTTGGATTTTTTGTTTGTTTGAGTTATTCACGGAGTAACGTAATAATATTACTGTCTATTATTGTAATATTAATGTGGTTGACGGTAATATTACTGTTGTTATAGTAATATTACTGTCACTCACAGTAATATAAATTATTTTGATTTTTTATTATGTTTACATTTGTTGAACGGTCAACATAGTAATATTACTCTATTACACAATAATAATGAGTTTTGTTGTGTTAATATTATTGTGCTAGAGATTAATATAGCAATATTACTGTGTTAAACTGTAGTTTAGTTAATTTTACTGTGTTTAACAGTAATATAGTTAATATTACTGTCAATCACAACAATATTGCTGTTTAAACGAAAAAAAAGTTACAGAAAGAAAGAAAAGAACAAAAAAAACGAAAAAAAAAATGAAAAGTCAACGCCAGAGACCGGCGGGAAACAAAAGTTTTTGAAAAAAAAAATTTTGAAAAAAAAAAATTGGGTCAAAATTGAATAAGTTGTGAAATTTGTGGTCAAATTGAGGTTAAATTAAGTTAAGGATGAAATTGGAGCATATTAAAGTATGAAGGGTTGTTTTAGTCCTTTACAAAAATATGTACCATGTGTGGACTTATTGGTAAAGGAGTTTTTTCTCTTGATCTCTTTATGAATAAGTACCCATTGATAGGCTTATTTGCAATGACCCCTTACTAATAAAAAAAAAATTCTTTAATTTCTTGTATTTAATAAGTAAAATTCGTATAATTGTTAACTTGCTTTATTTTGATCTTTTGTATCGTAGCTTATATTTTGAAATATTTGAATAATGTTCCATTTTGACTTACTTTTATTTTCTTATTGTTGATTACTTCTAGAAATTTATGTCGTAATTTTGTGAGTTGTAATTACAATATTTTCGTGTTTTTGTATCGTAATTTATATTGTAATATATAGGCCGACTGTGTTATCGCAACCTCGCTTTGATACCATTTGATACGATCTCTTGAGTATCATAAGAATTCTTTACGAAACGTAAGAAAACTGAGATAAAGTGGGACGTAGACGAGAAATTAACCGGGGAGGAGAACAAACAGATACAGTGGATATTAGGAGATTTCCATGATGTTCAAAAGAAAGGAGACGAAAAAACGTCAGTAATTGTGAAGGAGACAAATCTGACGAGACAATTGAAAAGGCTTATTTATCGGGAAAAATATTGAGAATTTTCCCAAAAGCCTTTGTGTGTTTGTTGGACCAGCTTAAACAATGTGTTGATGAGCTACCAACTGTGAAGAGATGTAATTCAGTATCCCAACAATTGTTTAAAATTTCTTGTACTAGTATCTCACGTCGGACCGAGCTATTTCGGAAGAAATTTAACGTCAAGCATAGATGGAATCACAAAAAAGAGAGACGATTATTGGGCCGAACCTTGAGGACAAGGTTCATTCAAGAGGGGTGTCCATAAATTGCTCGAACAAACTCAAGGACGATGCCAACATAAGAGTCGAAGAGACCACCACCGCCGGCCAACAACGCCACTACCGCCGTCTCCACTACTGTTGTCGCTGTCAAGCCTATCGTTGGAACAAGAAGGAGATGACGAAGATGATTTTTTCGGAAAACCCCAAATTCTTGTTAGTGCCCTGAAAGAAGAATTCTCAGAGTTAATTGAAGTAACTTGGGATGAAGACGAGGAATTAATCAATGAGGAGATTGAAGAATCACTCGTCTTAAGTGAGATAATTTGGAACGAACACGAAAAGTTAAGTAGCTAGCTGGACAAAGAATTAAAAAATATAGTGGAAGGATGCCACGACTTCCAGGAGAAAGGAAACGAACAAGTGCTTGTGATTGTGAGTGAGCCAGATTCTATAAAGACGGTCAAAGAAAAAGTTACGGTGATTGTAAGGGAGACGAAACTTGAAAAGACAATTGAGAAGATTGATTTATCGGGTAAGAGAATGAGAAATTTCGTTCGGGCAGATGAACTCCTATTTGGAAAAGAGTCGATTTTTCATCATGTTTTTTGGATTCAATCGGAATGCAATTCGATGAAGTCAAACATAGGTGGAAACGCAAAGAAAAGGGACCAAATTGACTCGAACCTTGATGACAAGGTTCATTTCAAGCGAGGTGGTTTGATACGATATATTATTTAGTTTATTATTTAATTATTGGTTTAGTTAGTATTTATTATTAATTAAATAAAATAGTATATTTAGGATATATTTATAGCCGTGTGTTTATTGATTAGTATTTTATTAGTACATGTAATTATCTTTTTTAGTTACGTTAGGATTACCCTTTATAGATTCTCTCGAAAATTTCTACACAAAGTACAGTTCGTCGTGCTTGGGATTTGGAGTGCTCTTATTCCAAGTTTTTGTCGTTGTATCTTGGGAGACGATTTCCGTCCAACCCGTTTGCACCGCTGCGGGTAAATTTCGTCTTAAGGACAGAGACAACTCGCATCGGCAAAATTCAATTCAAGCAGATTTATACAACAATCTTAAGACGAAATATTAATCTGCAAAATGGCCGAAGGAAACAACGACAACAACCAACCTCCGCTACCGCAAATCCAGAATGTTGTTCCACCACCGGAAGGAGTGTAACCTTCACATGTTCCTGTTCCGCCGCCAAATGGTGTTGTTCCATCACCTGTCCCGCCCCCACCTATTGTTCCACCGGCATTTCGTCCAGAACCATACCCTCTTGTCGTCGCTCAAGGGGAAAAACCGGAGTAGTTCAAGGTATCGATTTCAAACGTTGGCAACATAAATTTCTCTTCTACCTCAAATTGGCTAGGTTCGTGCCTGAAGCACCTCCCGTTGTGCCGAATAACGAAGCTAGCTTAGAGACAAGAATTGCGTGGGATGCTTGGACCCATTCCGACTTCTTGTGTCGGAACCAAATCTTGAATGCTCTAGACGATTCACTATACAATGTGTATAGTGCAATTAAGACCGCTAAGGAACTGTGGGAGTCCTTAGAAAAGAAGTACAGAACCGAAGATGCCGGGTTGAAGAAATTCATCGTCGGACAGTTTTTGGACTTCAAAATGTTGAGTGAATCCTTCCAAGTCGCTGCAATGATCGAGAAGCTACCACTGCTATGGAAGGATTTTACGAATTATCTCAAGCACAAATGCAAAGAAATGGGGCTTGAAGATTTTATTGTGAGGTTAAGGATCGAAGAAGATAAGCTCAAGACCGAGTCAAAAACCTGCAAGCTGCAAATGGAGGCTAAAACACATCTTATGGAACCAAACATGCACGTTAACGAGAAAATGAAGGTTCAAGGAAGTGCTAGTGGCAACCAAAGAAGCAAGCTAACATGGTCGAAGACAAAAGTGTCCCTATTGACATGTTCGAACTCAACCTGTGTGCTGTATTCTTTGAAGCTAACTTGGTGGAAAATCCTGAAGAATGGTGGCTCGATACGGGTGCAACCCGCCGCATATGCTCCAACAAAGAGTCGTTCTCCTCCTACACTCCAATCAATGGCCAAAAGGTGTTCATGGGAAACTTTGCAACCTCGGGCATTGTAGGCATAGGAAATGTTATTTTGAAGCTCGCCTCCGGGAAGGAGCTCACTTTGGTGAATGAACTGCACGTTCCGAACATCCGTAAAAATTTAAATTCCGGATCGCTGTAGTACAAATTGGGCATTGCTAATTATCGTCCCTTATGGGTTTTATTTGGTGGATTAGCCCAGCTCTTTCAGATTTGTATTTATTTCACTTTGGCCCCCACCTTGGGCCTTTTCTGCAATTTTCGGATTTGGTTCAACGAGACAACGGTTTGGGAGTGGAGCTTCTATTTATTTGCACTTTCACCCCTGTGGGGGCATACCAGCAGTTTTCGAGATATAGTCTTTTCAGGCATAGTAGTCTCTTTTATTTCCCTTTTAGCCCTATTTTTGGGCCTTCTTGTAATCGGTTTAATAGGACTTTGCTTGTTCCGTTTCAAAAAAAGAAATAAAAAAAATTATATATAATATAACATAAGAAACAAGTAACATAAAATATTTTTTTTTTCCATTTTAAATATGGATTTCAACTCGATGATGCTAAAGATAGATCACCTGATGTAGTTGAAGTAGGATGAGCTGGAAGAGCAAAGTGAATTACTGGCTCACGAGCTTGATAATCTCGAGATACCTACGATTAGAGAACACGCATACTAAGTGATATGAACTACATCAACATGTGACGAAACCCAATAACAATATATGGTTTTGGAACCCCAAGACCCCCCAAAGAAACAAGTTTGTCGAACCTTGACCTAATGATTAGTAAATCACGAACCAAGGTTACAATGGATACGAAGACGCCACACCAAGAATTCAAGATGGATTCAAGAATCTGGATGATAAGTCTGATTGTTTGAACGCCACAAGATAACTTGATAAGTTCAAGAGCTCTTTTAAGATAGAAAGAAGAATACTAATATCTCACAAAATAATTTTTGAATTGATTGCTAAACATACAACTTAGCCCCATTATATAGGGTTCAATATTCTCTAATCTATCGAAATAAGCTAAGAACAAGGAATTATTATCTATCTAATCAAATCAGCCACAAATCAGCCAATCTAATTAACAATTATTGATTCTAAATTAAGGAAACATCTAAATCAGAATATTGATGTTCTAAAGCTGAAATTGCACAAGTGAAAGACTCTCCAAAGCCTTGAAAAACGTGATTGCTTCAATTAGACCCTTCCATAACTGATATCTTTGTGATTGACTTCCCTCCAATCTGACTTGGGTCCATTTGAATTGTGAATGGGCTTGTACATGGATTTGAACTCATGTTGGGCCTCCAATTATTTGCCATCTCAACTTCTTCTTGAATTAGCCGATATAATGCTTCCTTGAAACGCTTGGCTCAAAGCCTTGTGATTGGTCCGCTTGGCAAGCTTAGTGGCTCTTGGTGGACTTCGTCTCTTATGGTTCCATTTGCATCATTCTCCCCTTCTTGAGAAATATTTGTCCTCAAATCTGCATCACCTACATCAAATAGAGATAAGTCATAAACATTAAAGCTAGTACTAACACCATACTCACCAGGTAGTTCAAGTTTTTAGGCATTGTCATTGATACGTTCCACCACTTGAAATGGTCCATCACCCCTTGGAAGAAGTTTAGATCTTCTTTGTTGAGGAAACCGATCCTTTCTCATATGTAGCCATACCCAATCTCCTGGTTCGAAGACAACTTTCTTGCGTCCCTTATTAGCTTGCTTGACATATTGCTTAGTCCGACGCTCTATATGTTGCCTTGCCTTCTCATGAAGTTGTTTTACGAAATCTGCTTTTTTTTCGCCATCTAAGTTAACACGCTCATCCAAAGGTAAAGGGGTTAAATCCAAAGGAGTCAAAGGATTAAAACCATAAACAATCTCAAATGGTGAAAACTTAGTTGCAGAATGAACACAACGATTATAAGAAAATTCAACATGCGGTAAACAATCTTCCCAAGTTTTCAAGTTTTTTTGTATAATTGCACGCAATAAAGTAGACAAAGTCCTATTCACTACTTCTGTTTGGCCATCAATTTGTGGGTGACATGTAGTAGAGAACAACAATTTAGTTCCTAACTTACCCCCTCAAAGTCTTCCAAAAGTAACTTAAAAACCTTACATCTCTATCAGAAACAATAGTCCTTGGCATGCCATGCAACCTAAAAATTTCACAAAAAAAAAAAATTCGCTACATGTGATGCATCATTAGATTTATGGCATGCAATAAAGTGAGCCATTTTAGAGAACCTATCAACAACCACAAAAACTGAATCTCTCCCTCTCTTTGTCCTAAGTAAACCCAAAACAAAATCCATAGAGATATCAACCCAAGGTGCATTTGGAATAGGTAGGGGAGTGTACAAACCATGTGGTTGAAGCCTAGATTTGGCTTGCTGGCAACTAATGCATCTTGCACAAATTTTCTCTACATCATGTTTCATGCGTGGCCAAAAGAAATGCTCATGCAGCACACCTAAAGTCTTAGCCACCCCAAAGTGTCCCATCAAACCACCACTATGTGATTCCCGAACAAGTAATTCACGCAAAGATGAATGTGGCACACATAACTTGTTCTCCCGAAATAAAAAACCATCATGCATATAGAACTTCCCGTATGCCCCATTAGTGCAATTTTGAAAACAATCACCAAAATCAGAATCCGTTGCATACAAGTCCTTAATATACTCAAATCCAAGCAACTTAGTACTAAGTGTTGAAAGCAAAACATACCTTCGTGACAATGCATCAGCAACTATGTTCTCCTTACCTTGCTTGTATTTGATAACATAAGGAAAAGTTTCGATGAATTCCACCCACTTGGCATGACGCTTGCTCAATTCGTATTGACCCTTTAGATGCTTCAAGGATTCATGATCGCTATGAATCACAAACTCTTTTGCCCACAGGTAGTGCTGCCATGTCTCTAGAGTTCGAACCAATCCATACAATTCCTTGTCATATGTAGGATAGTTTAAAGCTGCCCAACTTAATTTTTCACTAAAGTATGAAATTGGTCTTCCTTCTTGCATTAGTACACCGCCAATACCTATACCTGATGCATCACACTCTATTTCAAACATTTTAGTGAAGTTAGGCAAAACAAGTAATGGTGCATTAGTCAATTTATCCTTGATGAGTTTGTTTTTTCTATATATTTATCCTTGATGAGTTGAAATGCCCTTTCTTGTTCATCTCCCCACTTGAATGGAACGTTCTTCTTGATAACTGTTGTAAGAGGTGCTGCTATGCTGCTGAAATCTCGAACAAAGGGCCTATAAAATCCAGCCAAGCCATGAAAGCTCCTTACTTGAGTCACCGATGTAGGCGTTGGCCAATCTCGAATCTCCATCACCTTTTCCTCATCAACCTCTATACCTTTAGCAATAACAACATAACCAAGAAGCACAAGTTTGTCCGTACAGAAAGTACATTTCTTAAGATTAGCAAACAACCTCACTTTCCTTAAAACCTTTAAAACAAGTGCTAGGTGTTCAACGTGATCATCAAGGTTTTTACTGTAAATTAGAATATCATCAAAATACACAACTACAAATTTACCAAGGAATGCACGTAAAACAAGGTTCATGAGCCTCATAAAAGTACTAGGTGCATTAGTAAGCCCAAAAGGCATAACCAACTATTCGTACAAGCCATATTTTGTTTTAAATGCAGTTTTCCAATCATCACCTTCTTTCATTCTAATTTGATGATAACCACTCTTAAGATCAATTTTAGAGAACACGCAGGACCCATGGAATTCATCTAACATATCATCTAGTCTAGGAATAGGATGACGATACATTACAGTGATACTATTGATGGCTCGACAATCAACACACATCCTCCATGTCCCATCCTTCTTAGGTACTAGCAACACCGGAACTGTACAAGGGCTCATACTCTCCCTAATATGTCATTTCCCTTGTAGCTCATCAACCTGTCGTTGAAGTTCCTTTGTCTCCTCGGCACTACTCCGATAGGCTGGTCTGTTTGGAATTGTTGCACCTGGTATGAAGTCAATGTGGTGCTCAGTTCCTCGAATTGGTGGTAAGCCTGGCAGTACCTCTTCGGGAAAGACATCTTGAAATTCCTGCAAAAGTGAAACAACGTTGCTCGGCAATGATCCGACAAGTTCGTTAGTACTCAAAAGGGCCTCCTTGTACTAAGTACTATAAGGGGCTGTTGCGATAATAAAGCTCTCTTGATCTCACTTTTTTTTTGCCATGAAGTTGTATTTTTCCCCTCGTGCGCTCTCATTTTTTTTACACTCTCTTTTGTTTTGACACTTTTCTCTTCTCTTCTCTCCTTTGCTTTTCTCTCAATCTCACCATCTCTCTGTTTTTCTTTACACTTCTCACTCTTTTTTTGTATCTTGAGTTCAGCTTCAAGAACTTGTTTGGGACTTAACGGTACAAGTGTCATGGGTTGTTTTTTAATGATAAAAGAGTACCTATTGGTGTACCCGTCATGTGTTGATCGGCGGTCGTACTGCCATGGTCTCCCCAATAGGACATGGCATGCTTGCATAGGCACCACATCGCACTACACTTCATCCTCATACTTGCCAATGGAGAATGCCACTAACACTTGCTTTGTCACCTTATTTCTCCACTATTATTTAGCCACTGAAGTAGATATGGTCGAGCATGCCTCAAGGTAGGCAAACCCAATTTCTTAACTAATTCAGTACTTGCAACATTAGTGCAGCTCCCACCATCAATAATAACGCTGCAAACCTTACCATTTACAAAACAACGAGTATGAAATATGTTTTCTCGTTGATTGTTCTCTTCTTCTTTACCTTGTGCGCTAAGAGCTCGCCTTGCCACTAATAACTCACCCTCTGCAGCATATTGCCCTTCGTATGTATCTCCGAAAGATGGAAGCTCATCTACCTCGTCTTCCTTTTCATCCTCCGATTCGATCTCCCCTTGGGCATTTATCACCATAACCTTTTTGTTAGGACACTCACTAGCTATGTGTCCCATGCCATGGCACTTGAAACATTTCATATCTCGATTCTTAGAAGTGGAGGGTTCAGTGTTACCTTGTTTGAATGTTGTCGCTGGTTTGGCATCCTTAGAAGGTTCGAATTTAGGTTTAGTTGATGGCCATTCATCCCGTTTAGGTGCTGCCTTCCACGAATTTGAAGTGATTGCACATGTTCCCTTCCTAGCCAAATTCCTCCGCTTCAGTTGTTGTTCGACTTTGATAGCTTGGTGCACCATATCCGTCAATTCCACATAGTGTTGCATCTCCACAACATCTGCTATTTCACGATTTAAGCCATGTAAGAATCTAGCCATGGTAGCTTCCCTATCTTCTTGTACACTTGCTCGTATCATAGCAACTTCCATCTCTTTGTGGTACTCATCGACGCTCCTCGATCCTTGAGTTAGGCGTTGTAACTTGTTGAACAACTCTCTATGGTAGTAGTTTGGAATGAAACGTTTCCTCATGATGGCCTTCATTTCATCCCATGTTTCAACAGGTTGCTCATAATTTCTCCTCCTTTCCTTCAACAATTGATCCCACCAAATAATAGCATAATCAGTGAATTCAATTGCAGCAAGCTTTACCTTTTTGTTTTCGGAGTAGTTATGACATTCGAAGGCCATTTCTATCTTCTTCTCCCATTCTAGATAAGCCTCCGGGTCATTTCTGCCTTGAAATGGCGGAATCGTCACCTTGATACTTCCCAAATCGTCATCTTGCCTAGGCCTTCTTCCATTGTTAGCACCTCTATACCCACGTCAAAACCTTCCTCCATTCACTGGACGTTCATCGAGTTCCTCTAATTCTTCTTCATCTTCAGCATCACCCCATTGTGCCCTTGGTTGCACTCGCCTAGGTGGGTGCTGCCTCTTTGTTGTCTCCTCCTCCAATTTGTCTATCCTTTCATGAATTTGCTCCAACTCCATTCTCATCACCCGCCTCATCTCGCTCACCAATGCTTGCATTTGGAACTTTGAAATGCCTGGTTGTTGCCCCTCTTCAGTTGAATTATCTCCTCCGTTTTGTGACATGTTACAAGATCTGTAAGATAATATTAAAAACCTCACAAACACTCCCTCACGTGTTTCCCTCAATATGACGTCACTCACACTCGTGTTTAACACTCAATCGGCTTTTACCCTCTTATATTCTCACCACTCTGCCTTTTTTCGCTCGTTGTATCTTATTTTCACTCTTAATTGAACTCAAGAACAATCGAGAATCAAATAGCGATTCCAAGTGAGAATCAATCGAACAAATCACAAGAATCAAGAATTAAAGTCCTAACAGATGCAAGTAATCTCTATAGAGATAAATGCTAAAGAATGTGGAAATCTAGAAGAACAAGAATAAAGATACCATATTAAAGATTACGCAGATATTTTCTTTCCTTTCTTTTCTTTTTTCTTTCTTTTGTTTTTCTTTTTTTTTTTTTCTTTTTTTTCGTTTTTTTTTTCTTTTTTTTTTTTGCTTTCTTTGAGCACAAAAAATACGAAATTACAAGATAAATTGAAACTTGCCTTTGAAACCAAGGTTCTGAATACCAACTGATATGAACTATGTCAACATGTGACCAAACCCAATAACAATATATGATTTTGGAACCCCAAGACCCCCCAAAGAAGCAAGTTTGTCGAACCTTGACCCACTGATTAGTAAATCACGAACCAAGGTTACAATGGATACGAAGACGCCACACCAAGAATTCAAGATGGATTCAAGAATCTTGATGATAAGTCTGATTGTTTGAACGCCACAAGATAACTTGATAAGTTCAAGAGCTCTTTCAAGATAGAAAGAAGAATATTAATATCTCACAAAAAAATTTATGAATCGATTGCTGAAACATACAACTTAACCCCTTTATATAGGATTCAATATTCTCTAATCTATGGAAATAAACTAAGAACAAGGAAGTATTATCTATCTAATCAAATCAGCCACAAATCAGCCAATCTAATTAACAATTATTGATTCTAAATTAAGGAAACATCTAAATCAGAATATTGATATTCTAAAGTTGAAATTGCACAAGTGAAAGACTCTCCAAAGCCTTGAAAAATGTGATTGCTTCAATTAGACCCTTCCATAACAAATATCTCTGTGATTGACTTCCCTCCAATCTGATTTGGGTCCATTTGAATTGTGAATGGGCTTGTACATGGATTTGAACTCATGTTGGGCCTCCAATTATTTGCCATCTCAACTTCTTCTTGAATCATCCCATATAATGCGTCCTCGAAATGCTTGGCTTTAAGCCTTGTGATTGGTCCGCTTGGCAAGTTTAGTGGCTCTTGGTGGACTTCGTCTCTTATGGTTCCATTTGCATCACTAAGTCAAGGGTTGATCCAGTGGAAACCTCTCCGTCGCTCAAGTTAGACGTGTGGATTGCAAAAGTTGTCGAGATAATTCAGAGAGTTGTGGATATGATCCAGCCATACATCGAAGTTAATGGCGAGCTAACCAAAGTACAAACTCTCAGTGTGAATGTTGATGAGATGGCGGTGCCTGGAGAGATGCTTCAATCATAATATTAAAACGTGCATAAGTAAATTAGATAACTTGATCTTCAAGTCGACCTCTTGATCACCCTTATAATCTCGCGTAGACAATTGGTTGTGCACTTGCATGAACTTCAAGCTTCATTAGGACACTGTTACACTTCGAATATCTCTCCCCATAAAACATGAAAGTTGTAGAACTTTCAGTTGGCTTTCCATAGCAACTAGAATCACCTTAATTGGACGTCATATGAGGGAGTTATAACCCGAATAGTTAAACTACCAGAAATAGGCGAGAATCTCGGATGCATGGAATTCAACTTGTCCAACGAATCCTTCTCTTTGTTTTCTTCCAATTCCTCAACAAGGACTCTTCAAAGGCCTGATTCGAGCCTTTATTATTCAATTCCAACACAAACGGCTCCATTAATCTCACTCGCTTTCTCTTTTTTCAATTCTTCATCTTTGAGCTTGCTAGGATTGTATGATACTCCCCCTCTTTAAAAGGATTCGTCCTCGAATCCGGAAAATTATAACAAGGAGTATAAACAAAATCAATCTCATGATCGATCTTTCTATTCGGTACCAAACTTACACATCTTCGCACCACCTCGCAGAACACACCATCTTGCAGCCATTGAAGTGTATATGAACATGGATATTTGTAGCTCCAAGTCCAAATGCGTTCAACCTCTGTATAGAGAATTATTGAAGCATCTCTCTAGGCACCGCCATCTCATCAACATTCACACTGAGAGTCTACACTTTGGTCAACTCAGCATTAACTTCGATGCATGGTTGGATCATATCAGTTGTATTGCTAGAATATTGAACGTACCTTAACAAATGAATTACAACATTTATTTATGCAGAGCTTGTTGGGTTGAAATTAATTAATTGTAATTGTCGGGCGCAAACCTTATTTAAAAGTGATTGGGCCTCGGTAGTAGTGGTTTTCAAGGTTGGCTCGTGGCCCAATAAATTAAAAAAAAATTGTAGGCCCATTGGATTGACAACCATATGACAACTACATTTGTTTAGTTAAGACTGCAGTATACAGCTATTTTAGCAGCAGTCATTTTTTTTTTTTAATAAGCAGCAACAACAGTCATTTTCGAAAACATTTTTTATCCTTTACGTTATATTGTGACCCGGATCACCCATTTAAGGACCAAAGAATAAAACATCCTCAGTATTTATGCCCTTAATTTTTACTTGGGGTTATTAGGAAAAAACTCCCTCATATGCATTGTATCATTACATTAGATCCTTTTTTTCCTCCTATTTTTTAGATAAATCCATTGTATTTTATTAAGTAAATTATATTATTAATAACCTATTTTACCCTTTCTCGATTTCTTTAACCTAGCGACAACTCTCTATCCCGAAGTCGTCTCATTCATTTATCTTCTCTCTCCCTTCTCTCCATATCTCTGAACTCACGCCCACACCCTCGCTGCCCAACCGAACGACCACACCATCTCTGCCTTCCTCCTCCTTCTGCTTCTGCCGCCGATTCATCACCTCCGACTCAACCTCGCTCATTTCCGGCGAAGGCATCTCATTCATCTTTGAGAGAGTGGCGGCGAGCTTTCGGGCCGAAACGGGTCGGGTCGATTTCCCACTATGATGCTCTACTTTTCTAATTTCACGTCGATCCGACCCGACGGTCCGGGTCAGACCCGGATTATCGACATGGTTTGAATTGCGGCAAACGAAATCGTTAGCCAATTGCGTGCTCGTTGATTTGTGTAATCATCCATTAGGTGAGTTTCGAATCGTTTGGTTAGTGAATATTTTGGGAAACTAAACAATTTTTAATTAATTTTTAATTTGAGTGATAAATGTTAAAGATAGAAGATTGTTTATTGAGTTTTCATAATGTTTTAACTGTTTTACTTAAGCACCGATCTAATTTTTAATCTTGATGATTGAGAGTATTTAATTAGTTCAGTGTTAATTAGTTGTGTAGGATCACTCTGTTTTTTTCCTGCTTAGGATCAAATGTTCGATGGATTATAATTCGAATCGATACGCGTTTAAAGGCTTCTCGTGTCAATTGGAATCAATTAGCTTCGTAAAATGTACGTGTCTTTGTGTGAATTTTGGGGGAATTATGTGTGAATTTTGGTGGTTGAATGTGTGTGAATTGAGGGGTTTGGCCTTGGGCGGCGGCGCAAAGAGGGTGCGGCAGCCATTTTCTTTGGCTTGGGTATTTTTTTTTCTTATATTCTTGAGTTTCTTGAGAATTCATAGGGTTGGCCCACAAAGGTTATTTGAATAGTGGATTACGTTTTTTGTTTGTTATGGTTTGAAAGTGTGTTATTAGTGGATTACACTAATAAGACTGACAATTTGTTACCTTCTTTTCTTTTTGGTTCAGGTTCTTGAGCAACCGAAGTGATGCCGAATTTGTTTGTATACATTTGTTAATAGTGGTTTTGGATGAACATTTATTAATAGTGGTTTTGGATGAACATATAATGGATTACACTTATGTAACAGTGGATTACACTATTTTAATAGTGGATTACGTTATTTTTAATGTGGATTATGCTTATTTTATAGTAAATTTTACTTCAATTCCATAGTGGTTTTCGATAAATTTATGCTTATTTTATATTAACTTGTACTTTAATTTCATAGTGGTTTTCGATAAATTTAGTGGTTTTCATGTTATATAGTTATTATACAGAGTGGTTTTCATGTTTATATAGTTGTGTTATACAGAGTGGTTTTCATGTTTATATAGAGTGGTTTTTATTTAAAAAAAATGGAAAGAAAATAAAAAAAAAACCATTTTTAAAAAAAAAAATGAAATTAAGAAAAAAGAAAACCCATGAAAAAAATGAAAATAAAAATAAAACTATTTTTTTAAATTAAAATAAAAAAACATGAAAAATATAAATAAGAAAAAAAAATTTAAAATAAAAAACCGAAAAAAAAATAAAGAAATAAAATAATTACAAAATTTTCTTTTAAATCGAAATAAAGAAAACCATTAAAAAATAAAAAAGAAAAGGAAAAAAAAAACGAATTGGCGTGATAAGGGGAATAATTTTTGGAGAAGTTTTGGGTGTAGATTATGGGTATAATGTTTTTTAAATTAAATAATTATACTAATTAATAATTAGTAGGGGCATATATGGTTTTTCAGGCCCATTGGATTTATCTCAAATATCATTTATAGATAAAGGATTTATCAAGAATTAAAATCCAAATGAAGAGTGTTTGGCATATAACCCCTTTTTTACTTTAAATTCGATATATCCATTAAGAATAGAACACCGAAAATTTGTGAGGTAAATTTAGTTGCCAAAAGAGGAGAAAGCAAGAAGAAAGATGACATTTGTGGACACGGTGACCTAGTCATTGCGTCAAATCTTCAAAGCTTTATAGCCATAGACCATACTCATTTCAAATAAAAAATAAGTAAGCAAGACTACCTGAAATAGTGCACAAAGAAATTGCTTTTTGGTTTTTTTTGAAATTGAGAAATCAATCCGTATGTATGTAATATTTAACGATTC